TTTGGACTCTTCGAATCTACGTTTGGAAACAAGCCACCGGGGAGATTCTGGCACGAAACTGGAATTGTACAAAGATTTCCAGTTTTGATGTTCAAGAAAAATATAGATCTTGCACCCGCCGCCAATATTTTGAAGAAAAAAAATTACTGGAGGTAGAATAGGAGGGGGGGGGGTTACAGAAGAAGAAGAAGAAGAAGAAGAAGAAGAAGAACAACAACAACAACAACAACAACAACAACAACAACAACAACAACAACAACAACAACAACATCAGCAACAACATCAGCAACAGCGACAATACAACTGCATTTATATACCGCATGTCCATGTTCTGCAGCAAGTTGTGTTCGCTGAGCAACTAGTCCGTACATGTATTATTATCCCAACAGACTGTAGGAAAAAACTCAGACGCATTCTCGGCCTCACATTAAGCATACAGTGCAAGCTATTGATAAAGCGTTCACTCACACACCAACGAACTGACAAACTCTTTCCTTGCGTTTAGCCGGCTGCCCATTTCCACTTGGTGGAGTGAGGAAAACTCGTGTAAAATGCCTTTACCAAGGACACAATGTCGGGCCCCAGAAGGTGTTCTAACCCACGGCCTGTCGGCCACAAGCCGGACAGCCTAACCCCTAGACCATCGACGACATCCTATTAGACATGTAATGTGTCTTTCCAAGAACGTCGATTTCGGTGAGCTCCAGAGACATTGAGAAGAAAGGAAAATAATAACTACAGTCAGGCATGGATAAATAAATCAAATACGCGGGGATTGACAATTGATGTGTTCGACATAATAATGCATCCATTATTCAGGTTATCTGATAACCCCAAATTAAAGAGATATCAATTGAAGAATGGCAAATTGTAGATCTACGAGCTATCCGTTATTTCGGGTTTCCCGCGTTCGTGTTATCTGTGTCCGAATTTACATGATGTATCACGAGGGAAAATCCACCCGGGGTCGAAGCCCAATAAATCGCTTCCTCAGAATTGCAAAGTTCTATCTGCTCATCACCTAGTTTTGAGTTTTGAGGTTTAGTAAGTGTTTTACGGCACTTGCAACACAATAAGGTCATATAAGTGCCGAAGATTAGAGGCGTTACAAGAGAGTAACAAACACAAAAAAGAAGGAGGAGAGATAAGGACGATAGATGCTTGACAGGAAAGAAGAAGCAAACCACACCAGAGCACCCGCCAACCTAGTTTTGAGAAATTTGACAAGAGATTTTGAGCTTCACATCACATCAAGCTTTTTCGAACGCAATTCTTTGAATAAATGACAACGACTCAGAATAACCTTACGATTTTGATAGAACAGATAAAACATTAGGTTTCTGACCTCAAGGTCTTGGTTATTAAAAACAACCATAAATGTCGGAAAGAACGTTGTAATTCTGAGGTAGAATCTAGCGACGTGTAAATGTCCCAGAGGCGCCGAGAATCGGAAACACACCCGGGAGACGGACAGAAATGACACGTAGACAGGGGACAGAGCAAACCCGTCGCCTGTCACACGAAAGGGCGTATTCCAGATTTTGGCAGTTTTGAGTTGTTACTACTAGTAGATAGCGCTGCCTCA